ATATATATATATATATATATATATATATATATCACTTTTAAAAGATGATAATAATATTAATTTTGATGTGATATTAAAAATTTGAATTATATACATAGATATCAGAATTTAGGTGTGAGATATGTAAAGTTTTGGCTGGCTTCACTCATCTTTGAAATTTGGGTGCCCTCACATCCCAATCCTAGATCTCATCAAAACGTATTTGAATAACCTGCACTCGTATGAACTATTCTCGCACGCGTGGCAGTGTAACTTGTCTGCGTGCACTACAAGCCTAGTGTGGCTGGGGCAGATTCTTTAGGTGGATTTATACTCTTGAGTCTTTAATTCCATTTAGAAGCGAAGCAGATATTACCGGTGGCAAACCCCCAGCTAGGATGGAGTTTAAAAGGCTTATCGGCGGTCTGGTTATCTTGTACCTTGCATGTGCAGCGGAGGCCTGGACGGGGGAGATCCATGGAAGGGTCGTTTGCGATGTGTGCGGAGACTCCTCCATAGGGTCTGAGGATCACCCTCTCGAAGGTTGACTTCCCATTCTCACCTCTGATCGTTGATTTGATGTTTAGGACCTGCATTCTATTTGTGTAACATGACCTCTATCTTGATACTGTGTGGTTTTTTCCCTTTCTTCCGCTGAGGACTTGGTAGCCGGATTACATGCTCTCTAACTTTTCTAGATCCATTGACAATAGTTTTCTTAAGCTGTTATTGTACGTTTTGGTTTGCTTCTGTTGAATTTAACATATTTACCCGTCCCTAGAATTCATTGCTTCCTTGCTTTTGAAGTATCTTGTTTGATAGCTTTGCTAGCGTAGGTCTTATTCTATTAAAATAATTTCGTTGAGTTTTTTAATTTAATACTCGCTACAGTTGGGGAAAATACTCATGAAAGAGGTCATGGAATTGTGATTCCTGCAGGTTTAGGAATGCGTGAGAAATTCATAAGAATTTTGGGTCTCATCAATTTGCCACAACATATGTCCCTTGTGCTCAAATTGATGCTCTAATTCATGTTAGATGGGGACCCTGACTGCTGGTTTTATTTTCACTTGATCTTAAAATTGTATTGTTATTTTAGAAAGATGCTTTTAAGTACACTTTGTGTTGGATCCAAATGTATTGATGTGTGGCATCAAGATTTTATTAACTAGTGTGGTGTATAACCTAAATATAAAGATGAAAGCGAAATAGAAAACTAGGAAGTTGTGAGTAGTTGAAGGTCTTGTAGGGACTGAGTAGTTTAAGGTCTCGTATAGGCCCGCTTGTTTAGGGCTTGTAGAGATCGATACCTTACTGAGCTAGTAGCATGTTGTGATTAGTTTAAGGTCTTTTAGGGGAAAATGCTATACTGTGTGGTGCCAAGCTGCGAGTAGTTTAAGGTGATGCAAGGATTAGTTACATAAGTCATTAGTAGTTTACAGTCATATTGGAACTTACAACTTATTGGGCTAGCATGAGTAATTTAAAGTCTTGCACAGACTATGTAGTTCAAGGTCTTACAGGGACTAGGCCACACCAAGCTGTCAACTAGGCATAATAAGCTTAGTATTGTAAGGAATGACATGTTAAATTCATGAAGGTGCTCGTAGCCTTAAACATGGCATCGACACCTTATAGTCATATAGGGACTCATAGTTTTATGCCTTGAGGCACCAATAGAGACTTTTTTATCTTTTGTGCAATGCAATTCCAGAATTAATGATTTATTCAGCTAGCAATAATTGGTGAGCGTGTTAGCTTTTGTACTTGCCTTCTTGAACCTATTGATTTGTTGAGTTTGTCCAAAAACTCGAATGTGTTAGTTTTTGCACTGTAGTCTTTGTAGACTAAATATTTATTGAGTTCGCGATAAAGCATAAGATACCTGATTATTAGTTTATTCCAAGTTGGTAGCCTACTAAAGCTAGTAATTGTAAGTCTCTAAGGCTGTCAATTTTTATAGTAGCATTCCCTAAGTGGTTGTTTGTTGGATCAGTAATAGAGCAAGAATGATGAAAAATACTTGTCCATGCTATTGTTAATGGTAGGAGCCGACAACTTGACCTAGGATGAAGAGGAGTTAGTTTAAGGCGTTTTCAAATTGATATCTGTTGGAGTGGCAATAGGGCATATGGAAGAAAGCTCATGCCAAGCTATCGTCTGTTTAAGTGTTGATGGTATAAATGAGAAGGATACTTTAGTCACAAGAATAATTTTTCATTCCATCATAGCTATCTTTTGGTAGAGAAAGTGTTAACAATTTTCATTTGGTTGGCATTAATATGGAGATGCTAGTTTAAAGCTTTTTTAGTCCGATGCTTCACTAGGTTGGCTATTATTTATTATTTTTAGGAGCAAGTCATGCTAAGCCGTTGCTATTTGTGGAGTTGATGATCTAGTGGTGATTGAAGCATGATTGTCAATGGAGAACAATGCATCATAGCACAAAATTTCATGCCGACCTTTAGTGCATGTCATAAGACACGACTTATGCTAGTTTTGACATATAGTAAAATTTTAAAAAATGATAAAAGAATATAGCTAACAATGGAAGATTATTATATTAAAAGAGAAATTATTATGATAAAATAATGAATCAAAATGATGTTTAGAAAAGTTCAACAATTGAACCAATAGATTAAATTTATGACATAAATAGGATTTGATGAAATTTTTGGAAGCCACATCTCAAAGTTATTGGAAAATTTAATAAACACATGTTTAGCATCAAAAACATTTTTTCAATATATACATTTAACACTTCTAATCATTTAAAATCTCAATATCATTAGAAAATTTAATACCTAATAGTTTACGTAGTAGTTGAGTTTAGTTTAAAGATAATAATATCAAATTTCATTATTATTGTTTTAGAAAGAGAAAGACAAATAAGCAAAAGAGACTTTTATATCAATTCACAAGTAATTTAGCGAAATTATCTAATCAAACAACAATACTAGTGCCAAAGAAGGGTTGAGAGTTCTTGTGCTTAGATGGTTTGATTTGTAAATTATAATAAAATTAAATTATAAATCCTAATTAAAATAAAATTTGGTAATAATTAATACATTCTTAAAATTAAAAATAATTATAAGCTTTGACCAAAAAAATGCACGCCATAGGGCAATGTGCCATGCGACATTGTCTTTGAATAGCACAAATAATGCATGCCATTTGTGGCTCTTGCACTACACTGTGCTAACTTCATTGGGTGTGCCGCGCCATGCCCTTTGGCACTATTGACATGTATGGTTAAAAGTTAGCTTAATGTTTTCCTTGGTTAGCATTCTGTCACAGTTGCAATAGGACCTAAAGAGTGGTATTTCATTGTGTTAAACAATCATCGACAGTGATGTGTCAATGGCTTGACAAAAGAAAAGATAGTCGAAACCTCTTTTTATTTGAAATTCTACTTAAGGATAATAATTATTGTTATTCAACTAATTTTTAATTTTTCTGAGATGTGATCTTTGGATTTTTTTTCTTAGAGTTGACCTCAAGAATACTTTCCTGACCTAGGCTTCCCTTGCTGTGGCCATGAAGCTTGGGATGCTTGCTTAGGTTCCCCTAATTTAGCTTTTGCAATTCAAGCATGGTTCTTAGCCCAGGCTTCCCTAGTTATCGTCGATAGTTAACTTACGTAGGCTTCCGCGGTTGTTGCCATGATTTGGAGATTAGCGTTTATGCTTGGACTTTTTTAGACTAATACTAGGTTTCTATCTGGGCTTCCCTGGTTAAGCTTAGATGTGACTCTAAGAATAACACTCAGGTTACACCTAAGGTTAGTATTTTCTTAGACTTCTTTATTTTTGCCAAAGTTTAAAGATTAGGGGTGTATTTGGGAGGAATGGTTCTAAGGCTACTTTCTCATCCATGCTTTGTTGAGTGTTCTTAGGTATGATCCTAGATGGGAATAATCATTACCAACACAATTGTTATGCGACAGAGCAGTCTTGGAAGGGCATGAGCATAGCTATTGTCAATATATTGTCATATAGGATGTTGGTTAGTTTAAAGCCTTTCTATGCGGATAACTTTTTGGGCTGATAAGGAGGAGCAATGAATGTAGCATCTAGAGGCATAAAGTTATTCTTCTAAGGTTTTTTAGGCTAATCAAGTAGCGAATCATTGAGGGGATCTTCATGCAAGATGTCATTGGTTTTGGACCCGATGGCTTGACAGTAAGTGACACTTTGGACACACATAGTTAGTTTAAGGCTTTTTTTGGGCTAGCAGTTAAATAAGTGAGTCACGAAATGCATGTGTAATCACCATGTCAAGCTATTGTTAGTTGATGAGCCGGGGTATTAACATGATGTGGCGCTTAAGAGGTGAAAAGTTTGTTTTAAGGCTTTTTGGTATCTATGATTTTTGAGTAGTGAAGCCTAAAGAATAATCATCTTGTCTAGATTTGTCTAGTAATGAGCCAATGGCTCGATATGAGGTGGTGCTTTAGAGGCACAAGGTTAGTTAAGATGATATTTTTGTTGGTGGTTTGCCGACTGTGCAGGGAGTTGTAAGGAAAAACCGTGTCAAACTTTCATCAGTTTAGGAGAGAATCAACTTAAATGGGTCTTTTTGGTGCTCACAATTAGTTTAAAGCCTTTATTTTTTGTTGTTTGCTGAGTGGACAACAAAGTATAAGTGGAATTGTAACATTAAATTGCTAATAATTTACGAGTTGATAGCTTAACATGAGATGGCATTGCAGGGAACTAAGGATAGTTTAAGGCCTTTTTGGGTGACAATTTGTTGAGTAGCGAAGTGTAAGGGAGAATCATCGTGTCAAGATAGTTGGTTTAGGAGCTTATGGCGCGACATGAGAGGAATCTTTATCGGCATATAATTAGTTTAAGGACTTGTAGTGTCACTTTTTTACTGTGTTCCAAGTTGTATGGAGAATGCCTTCTGGTGTCAATTTGGGACACTAGGTTGTGTTATGATAGCATAATATTTTTTATGGACTCGAATGCCGCCATAACTACCTTTATCAATGACTTCAACAACCCCCGCCTTTCAAGAGCACATAGAATTGTTGAAGTCCACATTTAGCCATTTGTTTTTTGATAAGGGCTGTTCAAATAAGAGTGGGCTCTTATCATACTAGCAAAACGAGTTAAGGGTTATGTTGGCCGTGAGCAAATCATTATCAATCAAATCTTTGGCGCTGAAGTCGATCGTTACACCACATAGGATAATGTTGAGAGGAGCGCCTGTTGGATAATATTTTGATGGAGAGAAGCGCGCCACAACATTTGTCGATGAATTAAGGACATATTAGGGAAGACTGAAGTGCTGTAGTTTGTGAAAGATGTCTAAAACATTGTGTGAGAAATGCCTTTGTGGAGGTCATAAAAACTTTTTTAGATGCAAAAGGAGCACAATGTTGACTTTTTAAGCAATTTGCCAGGGCTTATGACCTCTGTCAACGAGACATCATGAAATAGCCCGAGGCAGGACATTGGGAGTGTGAATATTGCTCCCATTGGGACGATGCTAGAAGGCATACTCAAGATACAATTATCTTAAACCAACTAGACTTC